CTTTTTTGGGAAAATATTTATAAAATCCAAAATTTTGAGTTTATCGAAAAAACCGGAATATATGTCAAAGAAGTGGTCTATGTGCACCTACATACCAATTTTTAGAAGAATCGGTTCAAAAATGTGGGAGTTATTCAAAATTTTATGACGTCACGACACACAAATTTTTTGAAAAATGATTTTTTTTGGAAGTTGTAGACCTCGTACGGAAACAAAAATAGCACCATTCGATTCGCCGTGAAAAACTGCATCGGATAGACACCTTTTTAGGCCTTAACAACCAACTTCAAAATTTGACCTCACTTGACCTGACCTTGACCTGACCTCGACCTAAAATTCATCCAGAGGTGGTCCATATCACTTATTGAGTGTGCCTATTGAATTCCATGAGTAAAATGACCCATAAAACATGTGTCGCACATGCCCTTTTCTATATTTTGTTTTTGACGACCTGACCTGACCTGACCTGACCTTGACCTTGACCTTTGAATGCCATTGTGTGCAACGAATATTGTCTTGGTAGTCTAAGAACACGTTTTGGGCAATCAGTCTCAGTCCATTCTTCGGCAACTACGGTGCAAGGCCGATACTGTAGAAACTTGCATTTTGTACCCTTGACCTGACCTTGACCTGACCTCTGACCTACTTAAGCAAAAAAATTGGGCTCTTAAGATCCGCCTTGTTGAGAGCTTTCGATTGCCGTTTTCCCCGTCTTTCTACGACCATCGGTTCGGAAGTTAGACAGGGGGGGCAGAATCTGCCCCCCCCCCCCAGCAGGGCGCGTATGGCTGAATAGCCCAGCGGGGCGCGGGTTAAGGCCTAAGAAGGTGTCTATCTGATGCAGTTTTTCACGACGAATCGAATGGTGCTATTTTTGTTTCCGTACGAGGTCTAGAACTTCCAAAAAATCATTTTTCAATTTTTTTGCGTGTCGTGACGTCATAAAATTTTGAATAACTCCCACATTTTGAGCCGATTCTTCTAAAAATTGGCTTGTAGGTGCACATTGACCACTTCTCTGACATATATTCCGGTTTTTTCGATACACTCAAAATTTTGGATTTTATACCTATTTTCCCAAAAAAAGTCAGTTTTTTTTAGAAAAAAATGGGCCAAAATCCAAAATTTTCAAAACACCGAGATAACCATTTGATAGACAAAGCAGAATCACGTATAACCTTTTTTGTTACGTCTTGTTTCCTTGAAAAATGAAGATGTTAGCAGCGTTTGAAATTTTGCCGTTTTTTAAGCGAAAATGTCGAACATGACGTCACTAAAAGGTCAATTTCTCAGAACTTTTCCGACGGATTTCGCTCAAATTTTCAGGGAACGTGTCAAATTGATGTATAATAAGGTACTGAAAGTTTGACGACTGGAGCTACCGCAAAAAAATACATGGTGGCGGCATCCACCCCTTCTTCTCGGCCGGCGAGGGTTAAACCTCGCTTCGAATTATTGCAGATAATGATGCGACCGAAAAGAAAGTATTTATCTGTGTCTAGAACGGCCGCTGACTTGTTGGGCAAGATCCCCAATCTTAATTCGCTAGATGGGAATGAAATACTCGGTATGTGATGCATATGTTACGGGTCATATGCTAACTTGGGCAGTATGCAAACTATCCGGGCAGTATGCAAACTACCCAACAGCCCGGGCAGTATGCATACCGCCCGGGTAGTATGCATACTACCCGACCCCTTGGGCAGTATGCATACCGCCCGGGTAGTATGCATACTACCCACCTTTCAGCTCACGGGCAAGATGTTTACTCGGGCAATATGCTGACCGTGGCTCGTGAGACTAGTTAATGCAATAGCTCGCATATAATATACATGTCAATGACAGACGCTTTAACCCGCGCTGGGGCGGTGCTCGTCGCCAGCCGTGCCGGGCTGGGGGGAGGGGGGGATTGAACACTTCTGCTCGGCTCCGCGGCACAGGAGTAAGCGGCATGTAAGATGCGGTTACCGGCATTCGAAATTGCGTAAAAAAAATCATGACGAATTTACTCTAGTCATTTTTTTTTAGGTCAGAGGCCAATTTTACCAACATAAAATAGACGCCTGCTGCAATTTTTCGCTCAAGACGGCTTCACATACGGTAAAGCCCTATCCGCTTATATGCCCATCGCGTTTATGTGAAGCGGTCTTCAGGCAAAAAATTCCGGCAGACGGCTATTTTTCTGTTGGTAAAACTGGCCTCAGGTCAAAGAATGGGGCACCAAAGGTCATCATAGGTTAAATTTCGCCTTTTTCATTTTTTTTTTTACAAAATTGCCCATGAAACAGTGTATTCGATAGCTCTTTTAGAGGTTTCTGGAATAAGCAGTCAAAGTTGATCTAAGCTCAAAATTTGACCTGAGGTCAAGGTCACCAGTTTTACCAACAGAAAATAACCGCCTGCCGGAATTTTTTGTCCAAAGACCGCTTCACATACGGCGCGTAACCGCGATGGCCACAGCGGATAGGGCTTTTATACCGTTAATGCTCATATGTGATGCGGTCTTTAGACAAAAAAAAAAATCCGGCAGGCGGCTATTTTTCTGTTGGCAAAACTGGCCTCTGACCTGGTAACCTGACCATAATAATTTGTGACGTCTTACATGTAAATGGGCATGCAACATTAGCTATTGAAACTATATTAATGCCCTCTACAGATCCAAGTGCCAAACCAAATCGAGTAATGACACTATAGATCTTTCGTCATTTCAGATGAAAATGGCTTGTTGGCCGCTGGCTAATTAACAATAAAATTATGGGAAAATAATTTTAAGCCGTTATATTCCAATCCTTACTCCACCCTTCAATCGATAAATCACGTTTGACGGCAAAAAGACTTCGCGGTTGAACTACGTTACTTAGATAGTCATTAATATTTTGAAAATGGACATGGAATGCACAACTTTAATACAAGAAGCGGGCAGTATGCATTATGCAAACTGCCCAGGCTTTTGGGCGGTATGCATACTGCCCAAGTGGTCGGGTAGTATGCATAGGGGAAGTTGGGGCAATGCCGGAGTTGGGGCAAAGCCGAAATTCGAGATATTTCGAAAACCGTAAAGGCCGCCGTCCACTGCGACGGAATTCCGTCCGGAGTCCGTCCGGAATGTCGCCGCACGCTGGCCGCATCCGGTCCGGATGCGGTCCGGATGCGGTCCGGATGCGGAGAGCTAATAAATGTTTCCTATCACTTATTACCAAATTAAATATTGCAAGTAACCAGCAGCGAATACTCTTGCCATTCTAAGGAAATAATTTTTACTTACTTCATGATGATCGAGTTCCAATTCTTCGTACAATTCACAATGTTTGCCTCCGATACGGCCCCAAACCACGTCTGTTCCGGACGTTCCGGATGCGTTTTCCGCAGAAAAGTTCAATGCGTCGGACATCACTCTTCCGTCTCCGTAGCAACCGCATCCGAAACGCATGCGGAGAGCTGACGGAAAATCAACAGCTGATTGCCGTTCGGATGCGGTCCGGACGGAGCGCACACGATTTCCGTACGGACCGGATGCGCCCATAGGGTTCTGTGTTAAATTCCGTACGGACCGCACGCGTTCCGCACAGTGGACGGCGGCCTTTAGACATGGATGCCACCTGTCAGTGATGCTCTGAAGCTTAAGTGACTACAATTATCGCATGTTTGTTACGAGTCGTCATTTGGAATACTTCGGCTGTGAGGGCGCCAAGAGCGTTTTCAAGGTACGTTTCCCTTGTACTACACGTGCCTTTGAAGCTGTATTTCTTACTCATTATGCTACCGTTTGTCTGGCCAATTCGGTCAAGTAATCTTTAGCATGTCTTTGCATAAGTGTGCTGCCTATTTGAAATTTATACAGCACGTTGAAAAGTTATGGGCCTGCAAATGAAAGTATGGCTGGCTGGGGTAATGCCGAAAACGTGCGATTACGCACGTGTTAAAAGCACGCTACGTGGACTTTACTGCTGTAGAATAGCAACGCGTATTTTTAGTCACACAAATTACACTTTCAGCCGACACAACGGCCTGTTACATATAAGGAATGATTTACCTGGCATTTTCTTATTATATCACACAATTATAACTTCCAGTGTGCACCGCGTCCTCAAGCTCTTAAAACGCGTGTCATGGATAACGTTTGAGATAAAATGGCAAAACATCAATGTCGGCATTCCCCGTAGATCATTTATCCCATTTTCGGCTTTCCCCGCAGTCCGGGGCAACGCCGAAAAAGTCACTTCTTTGATATTTTTAGTTTGTGCGCTTAACGGTATGCGAATTCATCAAATGCGCCTGGTATGTTTGAAAGGCAAAAGACTGGCCTCTCGAATGACGCCAACAAGAATAGCTTATGTTGTCTACCTTGCGTGCTACGGGCGTCAGAAAAAAAGTATTCGGCGTTCCCCCAACTTCCCCTACTACCCGGGTGGTATGCATACTGCCCGGGCTGTTGGGTAGTTTGCATACTGCCCGGGTAGTTTGCATACTGCCCAAGTTAGTATATGGCCCGTAACACATAATACCCCTCGATTTGCCCTCGCGCTAAGTCTATTCTAATCATCACTGTCGCTTTTTTATCCGAGATGATGTCGCCACTAAACGGGTTGTTTTGTTTGCTTGCTTGCGTTGAATGGTCATTACGGATTATTGAAGGATTATGATAAAATAGGAATGAGGCAAGGGAGGATATGCACCGCACTCCGCAGGTGTTTCAATTAGATCACAAAGACATCATTTGCGGCATCGTGCGGAGTCCCTATCTTCCCCTCCTCTGCACTGCAGCATCTCCGCGCCCCACACACGGCGTCCTCACTCGACGGCCGGCCGCCGCCAACTGACTCACTCGCCGGGCGCCGCGACCTGACCCGTGTCACTGCCGCGGCCTGCGCAATAGAGTCGGGGCTGGAATCCGGGGGTTCGGCCGGCCGGCCGCCTCTGGAGCGGGGGACTTTTTTAGTAGACCTACTGTACATACATACCTGCGGTAGCCACTGCGGGTCCCTGTACCATAGAGCATGGTAATACGTGGTAATTTATTTTATGCGCATACAATACATACATATATTATACACTGTGATCTCTATACGCCGCAAAATAAATAACAACGCACCACCTACAACGATGAACGTTCGGGAGAGACGAACGGAGCGAAGCCAATGAGCTGCAACAAGAGCAAAACAACGGCGGCACGGCCGGCCTGAGATCAACATCCTTCAGTCTACAGTTTGTACTCGCCTGTCTACACAGACACTAGCAACCAAGGAAACAAGAGACAGAGCAGAGTCCAATGCCCAAGTCAACGACAGCTTTCATTATGTATAAAATGTACAAACTCCTTCCCACTTTCCATTACCCTACCACACCCTTTCGCAGCAATACAGTTAATCTGACCAGAACCAGATTAACAAACATAGCATCAAATTTGATAGCAGAACATGCAGCAGTCTCCAATATTCTCTGGTAAAGCTTGCAATTCGCTCTGGCCAGCGTTCAGAAAAAAAAACAGGAATATGCTTAGTAGAACCGCTCATGGCCATGTATAGAGCGCAATCCTAGCAAAGGTAATGCCATTCAGTTTCCAAATAATTTTCAGAGAAAATGGTGTGCCGTTTAATAGGACATCACTCTTCAGTCCTATGTGCACTTTAAAGTACACCTCATCACAAAAGGTTTCACCTATTATAATAGCTAAAAGGCAAGGCTGCAGTATAATTACTAATCAATTGTTACTCGCAGTAGCCGTGAAACAAAACTGTCATCCTAGCATCCGAGCATCCAGGACGTAACTGCCCAAAGAAAATAGTATTGCTTTAAGTACAGACATACTGGCATCATACTATAACAACTACCCAACCCTTTACAAATATTGCACCTAAGAACAACAGAACAAGCATAGCGATAGCGTAAATTGTAAAGTGTAAAAAATACTGTACAATGCCACGAAGTTTACAATTGAGTCAATGCACAGGCACACAGAGAGTGCCGCGGCACTGGAGGCCGTGCAGGCACACACGGAGTGCCGCGGCGCTGGAGGCCGTGCAGGCACACACGGAGTGCCGCCGCGCTGGAGGCCGTGCAGGCACGCGGCGCTGGAGGCCATGCAGGCACACACGGAGTGCCGCCGCGCTGGAGGCCGTGCAGGCACACACAGAGTGCCGCGGCGATGGAGGCCGTGCCGTCTCTACGAGCACTCGATGACGTGCAGCTGCGACGTGTCGATGACGGACGGCCGGGGCGCCGGCGCCGAGCTGCTGGGCGACTGGCGGCCCGCCCACGCCTCGGCCTCTGCCAGGCTCAGCGCCTCGCTGCTCAGCTCGATCAGCTCCAGGTCGGGCCGCGGGCTGAAGCCGGGCCGCGGCGAGCCGCCGCCCGCCGCCGCCGACTCGCGGCTGACCCGCAGCTGGCGCTCCTGCTCGGCCGTCGGCTTGCATGTGGTCGACTTCCAGTGAGTGCGCAGGCCGGACGCGCTGATGTACTTCTTGTTGCAGGTTAGACAGGTGAACGGCCGCTCGTTGGTATGCAGCCGCTTGTGCAGCTTCAGGTGCACAAACTGCGTGAAGCGGGACGGACAAATGTCGCACACGTACGGCTTCTGGCCAGAGTGTAGCCGCATGTGTGTTTTGAGGTTGGAGGTGCTGCTGAAGCGCTTGCTGCACAGTCGGCACTCGTGCGGCTTCTCGCCTGTCGGATAGAGCGCCACAATCAGTTAGCTGAAACTACACGCATCCACCGCATCGATGATGTGAGCGCAAACGATTTCGCGCTGTACTGGAAATGGTGCAGGTAACGAGTGGAATAGCACGAGTAGAAAGACAACGCATCGCAACGAGCACCAGTGCAGTGGCGTCATAATGCAAATCAAAATAGTTAAAACAACGAGGCATTCATCCAACAGCCTCCTGTCATCACGGCTCGGAAAGCCCGACTAATAATATCATGCGCCACAACCGGCTCATGCAAGCCGAATCGCTCACCACAGGGCGGAAAAAGACGTTACCCCCCCCCCCCCCGAGCCGCCAGTTTTTGCAGGACTAGTTGAACTCACCTGTGTGAACCAGGTTGTGCTTCTGCAGGTGGGCCAGCTGCGTGAAGCTCTTGCTGCACACCTCACACTTGAAGGGCCGCTCGCCGCTGTGCGTGCGCAGGTGCACCTTGAGGTTGCTGAGCTGACCGAACGTCTTGAGGCACTGGTTGCACTGGTAGTGCATCTTGCCGTCCTTCTTCTCCAGCGGGTAGGGCAGCGACCGGAATCCGCGCGGCCGCGGCTCGCTCGACTCGGAGCCCAGCGCCGGCGAGGGCGCGCCCCGGCAGCCCGGCGACACCTGGGACGACGCCGAGCCGACGCTGTTGGCGCGGCCGTAGCCGTCTGACGGGTACGGGCTGTACTGGTACTGGTAGGACGAGAAGCACGGGTACACGGCGCTGGACGAGCTCGGCGCCGGACACGCGGCCGCCTGGATCGGCGGCGGCGGCGGCGCCGAGGGCCGCGGCACCGGCGGCGCCGAGCTCGAGTCCGGGCTGGGCTGCATGGAGTCCAGGTAGCGCTGGCCGGCGTGTCGGTAGTAGTAGTCGGTCGGCGAGCTTACAGAGTCCGGCTGCGGCGCAGACTCGGACGCCACGATCACCTGCACGGGCTCCATGAGCCGCGCCGGCGGCACGGGCTCCTCCTCCCGCTTGTAGAGCAGGATGTTCTCCAGGAGGCTGCTGTTGGGCCGCGCGCCCACCGGGTCCACGCCGTAGCGGCGCAGGCGCTCCTGGAACTCGCGGCCGGCCGGGTGGCCGCTGCCGCTGCCGCTGCCCACCTGGGTGCTGTCCGTCACCTGGTGGTACTGAGAGTCGGCCTCTGGTGAGCGCGGCGCGCGCCCGTACGGCCGCGCCCGGTACGCCTCCGACACCCAGCTCTGGTCGGGCACACCCTCGCTGCCGCCGCTGACGTGCACATGCTGCTGCTGCTGCTGCTGGGGTGGCGGCGGCAGCGGCGGCGACTGCTGCGGGGGCAGCGGCGCGCTCATCACGTGATAGGTGGGCGGTGAGCGCGGACTGGAGGGGCGCGGCTCGGCGCTGCGCGGACTGGCCGGAGTGCTGGTCATGGGCGGACTGTAGACGGCCGGACTGTGGTGCGCCGGCGCCGACTCGTCGTGGGACTCGACCGACGTCGAGTCTTGGCGGCGGCGCTCCGCCTCGTTCTGCGACTTGATGTGGTACGCCTTGGACATTTTGATTTTGACCTTGCGGAACTCGTTTCGCGAGTCGTCCTCGTCTCGCGGCCGTTTGCCGGACTTGCTGAAGTCGAGCACGTAGTTGTTGTCGCAGTCGTCGTCACTGCTGGGCTCGTGGTGCGGCGAGTCCGGCTGGTACTCGTGGCTCAGGTAGCCCTCGTCAGAGCGCACCGGCGACGTCTGCTGGCGCGCCGCGTGGCCGGCCGTCTCGGCGCCCGTTGTCTCCTGCTTCACCTCCTCCCCCGCCGCAGGAGCGGCCTTCGCACGCTGCTCTGTAGGAGGGAGATTCATCGCGTCAGGGAGCACCGTAACGACTGAATGAATCCGGCGCTGAACAGACACCGCCGTACGACGGTGTGCTGTACGCACTACGCAGCGTCGATCGTCGATGTATAAACAAGAACGACAAACACATCGCGCACTACGCGTTCAATCAGCTAACTATCTATGCTTTGCAATTTCCATCGATTCAGCTATCTTTACATGCGTGGATCCGTACAATGTCCTAATGTGTAACGTCTAACTGTAAGTAATATCTTGTTCATTCATGGGATAAGGGTAGAGTTTGGAGGCAATTCGGCTACACTCACGTATTTGGTCGAGCATGAGGGAGCCGGAGACCGGGTAGTTGAGCCGGTGGGCGAACTCGCGGCAGTACCACACCAGCAGCTCCTCGCCCGGCTCAATGTCGCGGATCGTGTAAAAGTAGATGTTTTGCTGAAAGGAAAGACGTACAAACTGTAAAAGCGAGTAAGAAAACAGCAGTGTGGCCGGTAAAAGCATAGGTTGCCAGCACGTCGCCAATCATCCAGATTCATCAGCTTCCATGTGATGATGCTGGTTATCACTGACTAGCGTTGACACAACTGTCGTCGCATCAATACTGAAGGAGCGCTAAAATCGTAACCGCAACTCATCTCGTGCATGGTTCGTTAAGATAATTCGAAATGGAGCCCAGCACACGAAGGATAATAGCGAGTGGACTTTATCGAAATACCCTGAGAACACCCTGAGCCCGTCACCTGACGTTCAGGTCAGCCGAGCTCCCCAGTGTGCCCTGGCAGCGCGCACCGCTCTGTGCCGCGCAGCCCGCTCTGAGGACAGCGCCCCCTCCCGGACCGATCGCAAGGCTTACCTCGTGCTGAACAGCCACCAGGTTCTGCGAGTTGGGAGAGAACGCCGGGTTCACGTAACGCATCCAGTTGGACTTGCTCGTGTCACGGGCGTCCAAAAAGTAGTAGTCATCGCTCGATGTGTATACCTGGAGAGGGGGAGAGCGAGGGGGTCAGTTGGGCGCGGCAGCGGAGCGGCAATATGAACTCTTATCCGACTCGGTTCAGATGCACCGTGACCTTTAACAGGTCGCCAGTTCCGGGTTCCCATATTGCGAAACATCCCTGAAATAGACGCACTAGCATGACTGGAAGTTACTAAGGCGAAGCGAAGGCGCAGCAAGGCAGAGAATACAGCCGGAAACGTGCAGGCGCGGCCGGCGTGAGCTCAGCCTTCCGGCCGGCCAAGAGTCGCGAGCCAGCACGTCGGCACTGGGCCAGAGGCGCGGGGGACACTGACTGTGACCGCACCGTGATCAGTCCGCGGGGGCGCACACTGCACGTGCGGGCAGTGGACGGTCGCGTGCCGCGTGCCGCTGCAGTGCCGGGCGTGCTGCACCCCTCTGACGGGCCGACATGCTGGTGAATCCCTTCCCGTGGGGCACGCGGCGGGACAGGCCAGTCCGGCTATCAACAAGCAGTACCTGCAGCCTGGCGGCGAGCTTCCGCAGACGCAGCCGGCGCAAAGCGGAGAGACCCTGCACAGAGAAGACGACAGGGAGTTGGTACCGACACCAGCGGAGTAGATTCCGACACCAGGGAGTTGGTACAGACACCAGGAAGCTTGTACCGACACCAGGGGAGTATAGATTCCAACACCATGTCACGTGCATCGGTCACCAGAGCCGGCGCGACGCACGTCGCCCTCCACCGTACCGTACACGCGCACCCATTGTTCAGTACTCACCCTCCAGAAGTACTTTTTGATGGCCGTCGGAGAGACCTGGTGTCTCCGCAGGGGCTCGCCGACCAGGGGGCCGAACCGGGTACCCTGCGGCAGGCCGATCTTGGCGCGCACGCCCGACACCTGCGCCAAAGGCAAACGGAACCGGTGATGGGGCGTCGCGGTACGCCATAAGGTTCGACATCTATCTAAAAAACTATTCACGTCAGACCTTAACAAATACCCGTCTAGTTGTATCGCAACCGAGCGTTCGCGATGATTGCGACAGCAAGTGTTCCAAATCAGTATCATACATTCATGGGCACATGAAACAAAATACCAGCCTATCAGTAAGAGGACTTAATCGCAAACACTGAACGGTGCAATGCCTGCTCAATCAGTGGGCCCCAGTTGCGTTGGTCAGTTCGGCGTTGTCCGCTGGCGCTACTCACCCCCTCCTTGATGGTGACGTTTTTGGGCAGCGAGGCGTGCGCGCGCTGCTCGGTGCCCTCCGCCACCGGCGAGTCGCGCACCAGAAACGTGGCGCGCGCGTCAAACTCGCTCTCGCTGAGCTCCTCCAGGTTCCAGCAGGCGTCCTCTGTCTCCGAGGTGGGCATCTGAGGGCGCAGACGGCGTCAGGTCAGGCGCGGCCGAACGACGGGTCCAGCTGCAGCGGACGACATTGACTGAGCTGGGCTGGCCGGGCCGGGGGTGCGACTGCAGTGGGTACTGGGCATGGCCGGCCTGGGCTTAACATGGATATGACTGCACCAACAGTGCACGTAGCCATCCACCAGCCCAGGCTGCCGGTTTGAGCCCGGGAAATCCACAGATCAGCAGTGATACGGAGTTTTACACATCGTAAAACAAGTAGGTAAAATTGGTACTTCATTGTGCGAAACAATTGACGTGTGTCGAAACATAGGCTGAATGTGTTGACGAAGCGAGCAATTCGTAAGGATAGGAGAGATGACATCGCAGAACGTGTTCGTAATAGCCCTGCCTCTGGTCTATTTAGGCAACTGAAGTCAGTTATTGCACCTAAGCGCGGTCCCTCAGTATCTCCTGTCAGCTTAACTGCCTCAGAGCTTAACAACTACTTCTGTTCTATAGGCAGGTCTACTCGTGACGCAGTGGTGACAGAGTTTGAACGTTCTGGTCGCCAGCCGCTGGATGTTAGGCTCCCTCGCATCCATACAGGGGCTCTACACATCATACCAGTCACGCTTGACCAGCTCCACAGAGTGATCCTTAGTATGCCGGATAGGGACACATGCGTGCCGGGTGACATACCAGTTAGGATTTTAAAGCTGTGTTTTAACCACATCGGCCGCCATTTACTACGAATCATCAATACTAGTCTAGTCACAGAGCACGTTCCCGCTAGCTGGAAGCGAGCGGTTGTTATCCCTCTCCATAAGAGAGGAGACCCGTCACTGACATCGAACTTTCGACCTATCACCAATGTGCCAACTGTGTGCAAACTCATCGAGAAGTTAGTTCATCATCAGATCAGTACTTACCTTGAACATCACTGCCTTTTTAGTCCGGAACAGCATGGTTTTATGTCAGATCATTCCACAACCACAGCTCTTTTATCCATGACTGACCAAATCCTGGACGGCATGGACCAGTCCCAGGTAACTCTTCTCGCACTAATCGACCTCAGCCGTTGTTTTGATGTCGTAGACCACGATACACTGCTGACTAGCCTAGAACAGCTCCAGATTTCAACCGGATGGATCAGGAGTTATTTGTCAGGCCACACACAGCGCGTACGGCTGGGAGACACTTTCTCGGACCCCCTACCCATTGACATCGGCACATTCCAGGGCTCCTGCCTTGGGCCCCTGTTATTCAACATCGTCAGCAACAACATCAGCTGCTACATACCATCCACCATCAACGACTTCCACACCTTCTCAGTTCGTTATGCTGACGACACCCAGGTGGCCATCACGGGTCCTCGCAGCAGACTACCCGATCTGAAGCTGTCTCTGGAGAGCTTGTTAGACGTGCTGTGTACATGGTTTTCCCAGCACGGCATGATGGTGAACGCCAGCAAGACGGAGCTGCTCATGTGTGGCGACCGTCGCCAGCTGTCTCAGATCGGAGAACCACCTCAGATCGAGTTTATGGGTCAAACACTTCCTCTGTCAAGCACAGTGAAGAACTTAGGAGTTGTCATGGACTCTGAACTTTCTTGGGAATCGCATATCAATACCACCATCAACCGCTGTTTCGGCATTCTTATCGGTCTCATGCACATCAGACATATCATTCCACACTCTGTTTTACCTCGCCTTGTCGATTCTCTCGTTTTCTCACACATACGTTACTGTGCGCCCGTCTTCGGTAGCGCCAATCGCACGGCCATAGCCAGGCTGCAGAAGGTCTTCAACTTTTCAGCCCGAGTTATTTCCGGGAGACGGAAATTCGAGCACATTTCTGATGTGCTCGAGGAACTTGCGTGGCTGCCTGCTGCTGATTTTATAGCACATGCCGACCTGTCACTGATCCATAGCATTCTTACATCTGGAAAGCCTCATCTTTTACGCTCTTATCTCTCTTACAACCACGAACACGTATGTCGGGATACTAGACAATCACACCTATTAGCTCTGTCACGTGTAAGAAACAACCATGGCAAGCGTCGATTTACGTACCGTGCTGCGTCCCTGTACAACCGAACAGCGTTGAACAATGGCTTTGCTGGCCTTAGTAAGTCAGTGTTCAAGTCCAAGATCAGGAACGTGCTGCGACTGAGTGGTACCGTTGGGTAGGATATTTACCTACTGTCATTGTCATTGTATCGCGCTACTGTGATCTTAGTTTACTTGTCATCTTCATGTGTTTCGTACTGTTATGACGATGATCGGAGAAAAGCCCTGCCTTATAGTGGATCGATCTGATGATGTTTAATAAATAAATAAATAAATAGTGTTTACCTTCAGCAACCATTGAAAGTGAAAGATAAATGACGTACCGAAAAGTGGCTCGTCACAACGGAAATTCACGAGCATTAACAATGCCCATTATGCCAGGGGCCCCTCGCACAGCACTCCAGAGCTAGCATTTCAATCGGAAGAGAACAGGTGCGATCGCTGCTCGGCCGGCGGGCTTGCAGGCCCACCGGGCTTCCGTTCGTGTCCCGGTGCCTGCAGTGGACTCCGGCACCAGGCGCAGCCGGCAGCGCCGACGTCACCGCGGCCACGTGCTCACGTCAGCCGCGGGCCGCACTGCCGGCCGTTTTTCCTGTGTCTGTGGCCGGCGCCGGTGTCTGTGGGACCGTCCGCCGACCTGTGCTGCCGGCCGGGGAGGCGCGCCGCTGCTCCGGGGGCCCGGTCGACCAGCGCCGCTGCGGGGCCCCCGGGCGGCGTCACGGCACCAGTGTCACTGGTCCGAGCCCCGAGGACGGCCACCGGTAGACGGCCTGCTGCGGAGCCTCGTCCGTCCGAGCATAGCTGCGACGTAGCGCACCAACCGCCGCTGCAAACCATCTGACAATCGCTGGCCGCTCTGATGAAACCTTAGAACGCAGAAACAGTAGGTATTCCGCAACCACGTGCACTGACGTCATACGGCACAGCGCGCCGCTGCGCCGGGCGCCGGGGGAACGCACCGCCACTGGGCAGTGGGCGCAGCGGCTGCACCGTCCGACCTACCTCGACCTTGACCAGCGCCGGCTCGGGAGCGAGTCGCTGAACTCGCCTGACGACACGGGCGCGCGGCGCGCGCGCAGCTGGCGGCCGCGGCCGGCGCTGACCTTGTCCTTCGCCGCCGGCTGGCCGGCCGTTTGTTTACAGGGCGCCGGCGGCCGCGGCCGGCGCGGCCCCGCGGCCGATGACCCCGGCCGGCCGCCCTGACCTTGGCGGCGGGCGCCCAACGACGCACATGTGCTGCTGGGCCCGGCGCGGGGCGGGGTGGGGTGGCCGCGCGCGCCGCCCCGCCGCCCGGAAGTGAACTGGCAGACTGCAGTGGGGTGTCCTGTGGCACTGCCCAGTGCAGCAACCGCGCCTGTCGCGCCGTCACCGACCAGTTTTACGATTGAAAAATACCCGTGCTTCCGTATTTCTGTCCGTAAGTACGGCTCGGCCCACCGCATTATCAGAAGCAATGCGCATTGTGTATGAGGTCCGGACACAAATATACGTATGACGTCGTAGCGAGCCTCGGCGAGCCCACCCCGTCCTGCCGGCCTGGTCCTTGTTGCTGATGGGCGCCGTCTGTTTGGCCCGCCGCGCAGCCAGTTGCACAACTCTGCGGCGCATATGCCGCGGGCCGGCGGCCCGGGACGGGTTCGGCACGCAGCTCGGTGCAGCTGCGCGCAGCAGGAAAGTTCGAACCACTGGAGGCGAAAGTGGCGAGCCGCGCAGCAAACTTCGCGTCACCGACATTTCCCAAGGTCATTGAGTGCACTCCCTATATTGGTGACTGAGTACCTCATGCTTGAACCTAGACTTGGGAGTGGGAAGTTTGTGCAGCATTTTTGTGATTTTGTACACAGTGTTTTCTGTAGTGTAGTCATCCTAGTTTCCAAGAAAGTTGCCTCACATGACACATCCATACCCAGTAACGCTCACCGAGGGGCATCGCATAGTGGATGGTTGCCATCGACTCATCCAGGTGAAACTCAAAGTCACGACAGGTACTTGCCACGGAATTCTGAAAACCAACGCTGCAACAGAATATTTACGTCCATACGACACTTCCCGTTTGCACGCTATGACCGTCTGCCGGGGCCGCCGCTATTCGCGCGGTAGCTCGCTGGTGGCTGTGGTGTCGCCCGGTCCGGTCGGCGCGGCGGTACACGGGGGGGGGGGGGGGGGTCGCCCGGTCGGCGTCGTGTCGCCCTCTCGGGAAGCGCAGCGTGATTCAGAGTCGCCGTGGTATGCGGATGGAGCGCCGGCTGCCGGACCCCGACCCGGCGGCCAGGTGTTCCGCCCCCCCCCCCTCTCCGACCTCTGAGGCCGCGGTCTGTTTTTCCATTTCCTCCGCGCCGGCCATCCTCAGAAGGTGTTTGTGTAACGGGGTTGGGCCGGCCGGGACCCAGTGTCCACCACCCCTCCCGGCCGGCCGGGACCCTGTGTCCACCCCTCCCGGCCGGCCGGCGCGGCGGGCTGACCCCATTGGCGGCCAGCTCCGTTAGCCGCGGCCGGCTCCCTCCCGGACCTGGACCTGGGACGCGCCGGCCAGCCGGTCATTGTGCGCGGCCGCCAAAACAGCCCCGGCTGGCCGGCCCGGAACTCAGGCGCCGTACAGTTCGGGGCACCTACAGCCCCCGGCGGGTGAGGGAGGTCCCCGCCGAGCCGGCGAGTGAGGCGCCCCCCCCCCCGTCTACACACACGGTGTCCGAGGTGCACAACAGGTCCGGGGGACAGACAGGACGGGCCAGAGGGTTCCAGACGGGCCGGGGCTACAGTACGGTGGCAGGGGGTAGGCCAGGGCCTCAGGTTTAGTCCACCAATGCCCGACGATCCTCCGACAACTGAACCAGAAGACACACCAGAAGAGGATCAGACTTGTTTTCAGAAGTTACTTCGGGAAAACTTGGAGAAAAGCACAATTGCGTGGGTGAAAAGGAATAGTAAAGAAATGTTAACGATCTAAAGCCAGGCCAGGTTTTCGAAAATAAACCAAAACGCATTAAAATGTGAAAATGTCGACAGAGTATTGTGTACTGTGTAGTGACAAGTGAGTAGCTTTCAACGAGAAGAATTAAAAGTAGAAACGGAAAGTATTTTATCTGAGAATCAATGTGCCTATACGCCGGTACCTATGTATAGAAAGATAGGGAGAGTGAGGTTGAGAATGAAAGGGAGAGGAAAGAGAGAGTGAGAGAGAGAGGAGAGAGAGAGAGAGAGAGAGGGAGGGAGGAAGCGACAAAAAGACGGACGGACGGACGGACAGGGGCAGAGTCAGTCTCAGACACTCACAGCCACACACTTTCTTAGCAGAGCCACAATTTGGGACAACGACATTCAAAATTACACAGTAAATTTACAATACAAAGATTAACAATTCCAGACCGTATATGAAACTATGCGAAATCATTAACTTTTTTTATTATTTGCTGTTGGTCAGTATTCCAGCGCTGATTGGTGAGCTCTGGAGAACAGCTCTGCCGGCGCGGCCGTTTCGATTTTCTCGGCGGCGGCGGCGCGGCGCGGCGGCCGGCAGATGTGGCACAGAGGCCCGCTCGGAGCGGTTACGGTTCCGGCGGGCTGCGGCGGGTTCACTGGCCGGCCGCCGCCGCCAGCGCGGGTCAGCGAACGGGCCGCCGCGCCGCCGCCGCTGACGATAACGGTGTCATCTGGTACACAACACTCGGGCGACGGCGACCGCCCACCCTGCGCCGCGCCGTGAGCCAGCCACGGGCCACTGAGCGCTCACCTCGCTGCCACCCGACACACCAACTGCCGTATAGTCAACCGAGTCGACGGAGTCGGCAATGATTGATAAATAGCACCGACTGCTGTCAATCAGGGCCTGTGCCACACTCTCCTACATCCCTCTTTCCACAGAGCTAAAATACAGATTCCGTTCCGTGACACTGCCGCCCTCTGTTGCGTTCCAGAATTAACCTGCGATTTCGCAATAGACCAGTGAACTCGCAGCTGCACGCGTTATCTGCGAGAGGGTTTATCGGTCTCTGTGACCGGCGGGTGCGTCATCGGTTCCGCGCAGCCGCCGGCCCGTCACCGAACGGAGGTGGGGGGGGGGGGGTAGGAGGTCAGCTGGACGATGGGTCAGAGGCGTGGGCGACCACCCCGACACCGAGCCACCGACCACCAGCCGACCGGCCGACCGGCCGTAGGTGTTCCTGGTTACAGTGTTTTCCGTAATTTACATTCCTTTGAAGACATTTCGATTCCTTTTCGACGCTGATCTTGATTGACCATACCTAACTTGCGCCATCCGTAACAAAAATAGCAGGTGATCATCGTCAGAAACTTATTGAAAAATTTTGTGATCTTAATTTAGAAAACCCGAGCATTCCACCATTGATGGAATGGTGAAGAGCAGCGGAAAAAATGTGGTCCTCTGCGTCCGAGCTCTCCGGGAGTATACGCCGGGTGCCGGTAGCAGCCCAGTCTCAGTATGGGCGACTCTCGGCCCGGCGCCGGTAGCAGCGCGGTCTCAGTATGGGCGACTCTCGGCCCGGCGCCGGTGACCCATGGCGACAGCAGGCCCGGCGCCGGTGACCCGGCCGCGCCGCCGGTGACCTCCATTCAGCGGCCGCCGCGCGGTTTTTGTGAGCTCGGCCGTCGCCGAATATGTGTCAGCGCGCGCGGCGGCCGGCGCCGCCGAGCCAGCGGGCGTTGAACTCTCTACCTGTTCCAGATCCGCCGATACCGTTGTCCGCCGGCGGGAGTCATGGCGCCGTGGTTCTCTTTCAACGCCGGCTGGAATGAGAACGAAAGTCGGCTGCGGCGGCGCCGGCTAACGGTACCGCTGACCGGGGACAGAGCCGCCGAGCAGTGGCATGGGCCGCCGGGCAGAGTGCGCACAGAGCCGCCGCCGCAGTGGTGGACGGCGCGCTGCCCGCTCCCGCCGAGAGCGGCTCAGCCGGACGGACCGCCGCCGCTACTTCCCATCACATCTATCCTCCAACATAATGGTCTCCTGGCTCTGCTGGCAGACACACCTTTCTTAGAACGCGACAGAATAAGGAGACACCTGAAGACGATGAGTCGTAGGCTGACCACCTGTGTTAGCAGTGTCGTCCGTTCGTCTCTCCATCAACACAGGTTCATGACCTGAGCCAGCAGCACCCCCACCGTTCGCTCTCTGCTTCCCCGACCCGCCCCGCGTCCCACGGCACAGCCTGTGTCCGCAGTGTGTCCGCTGTGTGTCCGCAGTGTGACCGCTGTGTCCGCAGTGTGACCGTGTCGCTCAGGACGGCCGGAGGGGGCCGTTCACCCCGACCAACACCGGCCGATTGCGTCACTCTGCCCACTGCCGCGGCTCTGCAGGCGGCGCGCAAGGTCGAGCGGACGGCGAGTGCAACGCTCGGCGCGGCGCTACCCCGACGAGCTGGACGCAGCACAGGCCGCTATCCCGGCCGGCAGGCGGGCGTATCGGCGCGGCCAGCACCAAGACGGAAGTGCACGAGCGTCGGCCCCCGCGCTACAGAGGAGGTCTTCCCTTCATACGCAGGTCACAATAAGGATAAGATGGTGCATGTCGAGAATATGCCAGGCAAACGAGCATAGTTACAAGCACCAGCGGCTATTTAAAGTCCGTGCCAGGCTGGTGGTTTGGTGCAAGTGCGCGGCCCCGGTATCTCGGGACCCCAGAGTGACGAGCTGCGCACCCGACCAGCGGATCAGACGGGAAGACGGCCAGACGGAGACGGAAAACGGCGACGGACGGCCGCCACCAGCGGGAGCTGCGCAAAGTCGCCCGCCGCCAAGGAGGCCAGCCAAACTTTCCCGACCGCCGCCGCCGCGGGCGGAGCTTCACTTTCCTCGGACGTTGAACCGGCTGGGTCGGATGTCCGCACGGTTCAAAATGCCGCCACAAAACACCCACCTCCGCCCTTATGGCCGATTAGTGGGGCCGCGCGGCGCTTCTCGCCGGCAGGGGTGAACAGGGGCCCGGGGCCCGGGGCCCGGGGGCACCACTGTCCCCATCCGTGGCCATACCGCCGCGGAGTGCGGCACTAAGACCGACCAGCACCAGACGCAGGGTCACCGGCGGGCACTCGATGAAATCGACATTAGCCATGACGCGCCCCTGCCCCAGGGGATTTCGGATTTGTGGAAAAAGTTTGAGCTATCCTTTATACCGCCTCTAGGTTTTCAGCTAATTGGCTAGCGAGATAAAGAAAATGTGCTAAGAAATCATGATAATCATGGACCACATTTGAAAATCATTTATCAATTTTCAGGATCTTAATACGAGCCACAGAACCACAGCCACTTACAATTTGCAAGCACAACGAGAAGTTTGTGCAAATAGCCCACGCTAGTACGCAAGCAAAAATCTGAATCTTCGCCTCTGGTAGTATTGTTGTGCTGCAATAGGTATTGTATCTTCTCGAAACATCAGTCACCTTCGTTCTCGGTGTGAGTGAGCCAGTGCACCTTCTGAGCAGTGCTGGGCCCTCCGTCCAAATCTCCGTACCGTAAGTCGGTCAGCCGATTTCGTTTTCACTGTTGGCGGCGCCTGCGACCGGCATGGGTTCATTGGCCGGTCATGCCCTGGGAAGCGCTGCCGCTACCGGTCGGCGAGCCGCCGTCTTGCGGCCGGCGCGGACACTGGCCGGCGCGGCAGGGGCGGCGCGGCCACCATACACCTGGGCACCACTGCATCGGCCGACAGAGCAGCCCAGGGGAGGTGATTGACCAATACACAGTCAGCGGCATACCCACCGCCGCCGCATTCTTTAGGTCCCCGAGGCTCCATGACCTGACCCACAGGGACGAAACCTGCCTGACATGCCACACACAAACAGAAAGAGACCGTTTTTTAATTGTTTGTGATGTATCACTCAACGCTCCCTGCATATTAAAGTACGCTGCAACGCCACCCCTCACCGGTACCTAAAATGGTACGATTACCGCGATTACCTACCTACAAACACCTACTATGCACGGAATCCGAAAACCAAACATCCATAGGCTCATCCATAAGCTGTTTATCAGTAACGCTCATTGCTTTCTATAACCAACATTGCACATATGAATATGATTTTAAGATTCATACCTTTTGTATATTTGCACTTTTGATAGGAATATGAATAACTTCACACAAATTGCCCACAATCAATGTTTCGTCAATCCATGTTCAATCAAAGTACCTACGCAGGAAAGGGTAACTATCAAAACAGTTGCATGCGAACTTCGCTCAGTCAACCACCACCCGCATACCGAAAAAAAAACATTGTTAGGTATATGTGCCCCCAATCTAGTGGATAAAACCATAAACTTTTATCTTACCTCTTTCAATGTTCGGAGACAAATCACGAAATAAAACATTGGCGGGCATCTATGATATTGATATGAAATAATACGCTCAACGTTGAATACTATTTTTACATCACAACAATGTTGATGTTGCAATGTTGAATGGTTATCACTAAGATCAAAAAGTGCTGCTCACCTTTGTTGAACCTGCGTGGCGCCGCCGCGCCGCTCCAAAGCCAGTCGCGCTGATCGCTATTGGTACACCACTGCGACTCGTGCACGTGTTCCCTCACTGTCCGCTACGCTCGCTCACATGTGCCGCTGCTGCGCCGCGCGCCCCACCGGCCCCAAACGCTGTCTGCCGGCGGCCGGCGCGGCGGTCGGCCGCTGGGGCCGCGGCCGCGCCAGTGCGCATGCGCCACCTGCCGGCTGACCTCCGTTGGCCGCCGGATGAACCCGGCCGCGGCCCGGCCTGGATGGGGCCGGTGCTCGTCTCCTGTTCCGGTTGGCGTCACCCACACCCCGCCCCCCCCCCCCCCCCGGCCCGCGGCACAGGGGGGGGGGGGTCTCCACGGTCAATGGCCGGCCGCCGGGCGGCGCGCGGCGACTGGCCCTGGCCTTCGTGGCCGCTGTCGAAACTTGGCAGTGGCCTCACTGCACTGGGGAGGGGGGCAGTTCGGGGGCACAACAGCGCTCCTACGCTTTGATTCATGCACTAGAAGAACATTGTACATGTACAGTACACAGCAGAAGTAATGTGTGGTTTCAGTCATGGGTATGTTCTGCTTCTGAAGCCTAGGAACGATTAGCCAAACTGCAACGATACTTTAAATGTAGCGTAGCTTACATGTATCTTCACCCTTGCAGCTACAACTTTATCTATTGAGTATTGACGTCTTCTTTTCAATCAGTCCGCATTTAAAAATCGTCGGTCAAAGCCATCCGTTGAGGTTGGTAAAACCACACATTACTTTAGCGGTGGGCTGTATACCTATTCCCTGACATTTAAGCTAAAATACTCAACCCACAGTTAAAACCGATAAAACTGAGTTCAGGCTATTTTCCGATGAAAGAGGACAAATCATAATGTAATTACATACATCAGGGGTCGGCAACCTTTTTTGGGTGAGGGCCGGATAGGAGATATGGAAGCAACCGCCAGGCCGAAGCATAGCAATCGTTACAGTTTGCGACGATTAAATATGATTGAACGTACCTTTTTTAGACAGTCTGCCACAGGAAAAAGCGATTTTGAAATTAAAAGGAACGTTTGTGACTTTTTTCATTTTTTATCTCATCAGACACCCAGCCTGCTATATCATTCTTTTCGAGGTAAGTTAAATGTGTGTAGGTAGAAGCATTGTGGTAGCAAACATTCTAGTCACGTGTATGGAAAAGGTCGAGTTTTGAAAGAAATGCGGGCCGGAGCACAATGTTATAGTTGCTGATAAGAGCCGCGGGCCGGACGTCAGGATGGTCGCGGGCCGGACCCGGCCCGCGGGCCGTAGGTTGCCGACCCCTGATGCTCAGCACTTTGCCGCCGCCAATGACTCACCGGGAAGTCGCGTAAGCTGGAGCTCTTAAGATAACGGTTAAGCAAGTGCTTGCATAATTTTTCGCATTTCGTAAAATTATCTGAAACGATCGATCCAGCTCCTGGCAGATAGATATCAAAAGGTGTTACCTTTTGATTGTGACCCTGAAGAAGTCCCATGGACGAAATATAGGTATTTTTCAGAGAATTTTGCATTTCATTTACCGTTCGGAACTTAATATGAGCAAAGGCTATTATATCTCAATGATACAACTATTCAAGTAGGCAAAATTTGGCCTTTAATGACCATGGTGACCTGACCTTTCACCTGATCTAAAAATGACCTGACCTAAAAACGACCAAGATATTTTCTTCGTTATTTTTGAAGCTGTTTCGAGTACCGCTTACCGCGTGTCTCTACGTAGCCCAGGAGCCGAGTTAGGGGGGGGGGAGGTGTCCGAACACAATCTTGCGCCGATCACCGATCGAAACGCAGTTGTCGCCGATCACCGCGGTTCTCGCGGTTGTCGGCACGGGTTGTCGGCAGTCACGGCACCTTGGCTGGCATAGAAATGATCCTCAGATGTTTTGAAATGTACTACTAAAAACAAATTAAATTAAATTAATTAACAAAATAAGCTTAATAAATTTAAAAAAAAACATAAAAAAATTGCCACTGAACAACTGCAATCTGAAGATTGCACATATCAATTGTCATTGCTAAATGTCCATAGATAAATATCCAGGAATATTTTTTTAAAGAAATCTAGTTAGTCTGTTGAACACAGAACTGTTGAACACAGAGAATGGACGCGTTTCGATTATTCGATCGTCAGAAGCAAAATACAAAGAAAACAAGATATCTTGTTTGGTTTTTACTTAATATATCATGCTGATGACGATTGATTAATCGAAACGCGTCCATGCTCAATTACTTCCGTGTTTAAGGTACTGCTTGTCATTATCAATATACAATACATAGAGTTAATCTACCGCATTTCAGTCGCGAATGCACATTCTATCAGAGCTGCTAAAACATGTGCAGTGCTGTGCTTTCCTAGCGGGATGAACGCTCAAAGTCAAACCCAATAATGCTAATATGAAGACAGACATGAGCTTTTGTAGAACCTTTTTGTGAGCCATTAAAGTAACTAATTCGTCAGTCATATTGTCTTTCTAATTGCTATGAATTACTTTTAGCATTAGGTTTTAGATGCCTAGACATTTGACTCGATTTATAAGGAAGAAGTAAACTTTTGCTAATAGGTCCGTTCCATGGCTACATTCCACGACAAAGCTTCCTCAGGAATGGAAACACGAAACGGTGTAAGCAAGTAGTAACAGTATCTATTTAAGCATTGAACAAAACCAAAACAGCTTTCCCAATATTCAGACTTTTCGCTCCATCCCTCCTCCCCCCTCCCCCCCCCGGCATACGAGAAGCGACGGGACGTCGCAAAACAGGCTCGAGTCTCTGGCTTCCGGGCGGGCTGAGAAATTCCAAGCAGGCTATATAGCGCGGGCATCCCTATGAGTAGTTCGTGGCAGCGCTGCCCCCGTCACAGTAGTGGCACAATTTCTCACCGGCCGTAAGTGACGCATCACCCAGAGTACGCTGGAGTCGCCGGCCGGTCTCGTCAGTCATCAGCGGCAGTACATGGAACCGGCAGCCCGGCCCGACTCAGCGGCCGGCCCGGCGCGCCGTGACCCACTCCGGCCGAGCCGCCGCCGCCACCGCCGCCGCCGTCCCCGGTGCCGGCTCCCCGCCGCTGCACCGCCGCCTCAATCCCCGGCCACTGTTCACAGCTCCCCTCGGAATAGAGCCGAGTTTAGTGCGCCGCAGAGCCGAGCCGAAACCCCCCTCCCGGTCCTTGTGTTGTGCCGGCTAAAAAGAGAATCTGGTGGCGGCCGGTGTGTGCGTGGTGACCCCGGCGCGGCGCGGCTCCGCGCGGGGCGCTGACCGGAGTGGCCACGTCACCGCGCGTCCGGCGAGCCGGCGGAGAAAGCATTGAAAGTGGTACGGCCGGCGCTGCGGGCCGGCCACCAGGATCCGTCGCGCGCACCGACAATTACGCAGCCGATTCAGCCGAATGGCAGTTCACTTTCCACACAATACTATCTTAAAACACTTTCAATGAAGAGTTCCTGCAAAACCGTACCGCTGGAAAAATAAGTGAACATGCTAGTCTGCTATGGCGTATTTAAGTCGCTAGAAATGAGTAACGAAAACGACTTATGTAACCACCATCAGCTGTGTCCCAGCGATTTTTAGAAGAAAGTACAGGGTGATCATATCATTTGGAACTTTATTTCTTTATTAACATAAAAGCAACCGCAGGCTCATGTCCCACTTCTGGGTGCAGTCACATATGAACAAATGTATAAAATCGGGCACACGCAATCACACGCGTCGCACACACACACATACACACACAACAATACACCAGTATAACGCCTTTTGGTGCGACTAACGGAGCGAGCGAGAGGGTGGGCCTTGCACGTGCGAAATTGCGAGGGGTTACCCCCAACTGACTTGTGCACGGCACCCTACTAACCGGTCTCTAGCGATGCGCCAAATTTGAGCACAATCGGCCCAGCCGTTCTCGAGATCTGGAAGCGGCACCCTGCACGTGCGCACGTGCAAAATGGGTCCCAGCTGACTTTTGCACGGCACCCTACTAACCGGTCCCTATAACCGCGTACCAAATTTGAGCGCAATCAGTCAAGCCCTTCTCGAGATCTGGAATCGACCCCTGCACGTGCGCACGTACAGCAGCACCCCCATTGTGGCACATGGATATGCATCGCCTAGTGGGTGCCTACCTACATGCCAACTTTCAGCGCAATCGGCCCAGTTGTTACCGAGATATTGCAACAATTACAAAACTGACACCTCTTCGTTTTGCACGTGGCACGTGCATAAGGGGTCACCCACATGCATCGGGAATAGCCCAATACTTGGTAGAAGAAATGAAGCTACCCTACAAAAATTACCGCATGTAAGTCGATCAAGTGGTTGCTGAGATATAAGCCTCGCAAAAGCGTCCGCACGGCCGGTCGGCCGGCCGCTCATACTCAGTAATTTCGAGAGTTGCTGGGGGGGGGGGGGGCGTTAAACGCCCCCACTTTTTTTCGCCGGGCCATAGCATAAAAACGGCGCGCCGCAAGCGCGCCAAATTTTGGGTAGCTGTAGGGAATTGATTGAAGTTTATTGTGACAAAGTTTAAAAAAAATCGGTCGGAAAATTTTTGAGATATCGAGGTTTTAGTGACGTCATGATTTCTGAGTTTTAGACCAAAAACGGCATATGTCCAAAAAATCATATAAAATCACAGAATAGACATACAGACATGCCGTAAACGCCATTAGACTGCCAATACCTTGAAAAATCAAATGGCTATCTTCGATTATTGATTATCGTTCCAAATTTTCCAAAATCTTGAACTGAATCTTGGCAATTTCTCGTGACTACTTCACGACCATGATACATGCATTTCTTAAATTGAACTTTTTTAGCCAAACACGTACACATATGATAAAATGAATGTCACCATCGTGTTCTACGCCCCAAATTACCCATAAAACATGTGTCACAGGCTGCGAATATCAGTTTTGATTTTCGGGGATATGTGCCTACCCGGTTGACCTGCCCTTGACCCTGACCTATGCTTGACTGACCCCTACATAGAGCTGACACTCTTGTAGGCCTTATATGATGGATTGTGCACCGTTTTGACAGAGTTTATGACGAGAGGCGCCCATTGCGAAGCAGTGGCGGCGGAAGGTATTTTGGGATGGGGGGGCACACCTGATCCTTCCCGGAACCTAG